AAGGAAATCAACCCTGAGTGCTCACTCAGGAGGGACATATCCTGAAGCTGAGGCTCCAATGCTTTGGCCATCTCCTGGGAAGAGAAGACTCCCTGGAAAAGACCCTGATGTTAGGAAAGGGTGAAGGCAAGAGGAGTAGGGGACGTCAGAGGATGAGAGGGTTGGACAGTGTCATCGAAGCTACCAACATGAATTTGACCAAACTCTGGGAGGCAGTGGAAGACAGGATGGCCTGGCCTGCTCTGGTCCACAGGGTCACAAAGAATCAGACACGATTTTAAAAACTAAACAAAAACAAAACATAAATTTATACCCATGTAAATTTGCCAGGCAATTTTATCAAGGCAACAGGGTGTGGTACTGTGTGATTGCACAATCATTTGCACTATTCCATTGTGGCTGTCGTGCAATTCACCAGCAGAGGTGCTTTGTGGATAGCACATCTGCCTTCATGATGTTCTAGCTACCACGGTTGTAACTTTGAGTTACATCCACATATCTACAATACTGGATTTCAACCCATATTTGCATTTTTTTTTAAAAAATCAAACAGAAACCCAACTGTCTGAACATCCCTCCTTGTTTTACAGGCTTTTGGTCACAGATAGCTTTTGGAAAGACAGTAAAACTCTATCCAACCCTGAGGCCTGTTTAGGTGAGAAACCAGTTCCTGATCTGTCACTCCATGAACTCACCAGGAGTGCCAGGAGCAATGCGATGTCCCGGCCCCTACGTCCCCATCTGCCCAGACTGTGGCTCTGCATGGCCTTTGGCGCTCCTGAATCCAGGCTGCCTGTCACTTGCCAGTTCATCTCAGCTTTTCATCTGCCTGATGCCCAGACGAGCCCTGCAAGGCACTTGAGTGCTTTTCCTGACAGTAATTGACAAGAACAGTACCTTCCAGGCAGCATTAGCATCCTTTTAGGCCGGGAGCCTGGCAGATGGAAAATAAATGGGTTTGGAAGCGGTGGGAGCACCGATGGTGTTATAGGAAGCCCAGAAGCTCTGAAGAGCCAAGAGAGGAAAGCTCACTACCCTGGAAAGGGAGAATCCCAGACCTTTCTTGTCTCCTTTTCTGGCTAGCACTACAGAGAAAGAAAAAAACCCAATTTATATGGACCGTCTCCTGCCTGATGTTGTTCCCTTGAACCAGTAGAGTCATCATCGGCTTGTTGGTGTTGAGTCTCACTCCTGTGCTGTGTGAAAGAGATTGGCCTGAGTCTACCATGCCCGCTCACATCCAATGACAGTTCAAATACAGCCAGTTTCAACCATGCCAGCTGCAGTGAGCTTAGCTGGTATGAATGCACGGCATTGCCACATGCCAGAAGTTGACCTTGTTTCTTCCGATACCCTTGTCCCAGAGCTTTCCTACTCCTAGCCTTTTCCTTTTTCTTTGGAGGCACATGGTGGTCACTCCAGAGGCCTATTGGGGCCCATGTGTGATAGAATGATGAAAAACTCCTATGTGGACTTAGGTTTCTTGGCTGGTGCTCCCTGAAATCTGGCTGGTGGAAGTCCTGGGGAGCGCAAGAAATCTGAAAGCCCAGTGCCTATCTCTGACTTCAGGCAGCCCTGTTTTATAGGTGTGCAGGAACTGCTGCCATGCTGACCCATCCTCTCAAAAATTACGCCGTCTGAAGAAGAGATCCAAGATCTACATTTGCAGCTGTGGTTGGTTGGTTGGTTGCTTGCTTTGCATTCACAACATGAGCATACATTTGCAACTGTGGTTGGTTGGTTGCTTGCTTGCTTGCTTTGCATTCACAACATGAGCATATTTTTAATTCAGATTTGGCACTGTATCCCAGTATGTTGTAGAAGGCTATATGTGACTGTAACCTTCATGGTTTGTGCGCTGGGTCAGTTATATAAGTCCATGTTCTCTGAGCTCAAATGAAGCTCCATGGTTCACCGGCCAGCTCTACTGTGGTTGGTTGGTTGCTTGCTTGCTTGCTTTGCATTCACAACATGAGCATATTTTTAATTCAGATTTGGCACTGTATCCCAGTATGTTGTAGAAGGCTATATGTGACTGTAACCTTCATGGTTTGTGCGCTGGGTCAGTTATATAAGTCCATGTTCTCTGAGCTCAAATGAAGCTCCATGGTTCACCGGCCAGCTCTGAGTCAAACACAGATGTTGGTCTCAGGGCCAACCTGCAGGGTCTCCGTGTCATTTGTTAATCGATTCTCGGACAGTACGTAGCCATGGAGATGTGATTTCTCCAGCAGACATGCAAAGTCTGGATGATTTAGGGACGCTCCCTATAATATAAAACAACAACTCTTCTGCCTGGCTGGGTGATTCCAGCATTTGTCATTAAAAAAAATAACTTGGGCTGTGCTCTTAATGCAGGGGAGAATCTGGCTTCAATCTTGTGGGATCCAGTTTTTTCTTTTTCTAGAACTCAGAGATCCAGCAATTGAAATTGAATGCAAAAGGGTAGAGCGTGTGACTTTCAAACTGCTAGATAGCTCTGTGGTTTAGATCACTGGTTCTTAACCTTGGTTTACGCAGAAGTTTTGGACTGCAACTCCCAGAAGCCTTCACCACCAGCTGTCCTGACTGGGGTTTCTGGGAGTTGCAGTTCAAAAGCATCCGAGTAACAAAGGTTAAGAACCACTGGTTTAGATCACTGGTCCCCAACCTTGGGCCTCCATATGTTCTTGGACTACAACTCCCAGAAGCCTTCACCACTTCACCCAGAAGCAAGGATTTCTGGGAGTTGAAGTCCAAGAACATCTGGGGACCACTGGTTTAGATATCTGACTGCAGAGCCAGAGGTTGGGAATTCAATTCTTTTCTTTCTTGACTGGCTGGACTCTGATTCATAGGGTCCCTTTGCAGCTCTGCACCTTGACTGGCTGGACTCAATGATTCATAGGGTCCCTTTGCAGCTCTGCAGTTCTCTTGTTTTTGGTTTTGTTGTTGTTGTTTCCTCCTTTATGTGCCATGTATCTGAGCTCACCTACATACTTTTACATCTGACACAAAACTCTGGCAGGGGTGCTGCATAGAAACCTAATAAAAGGCAACCAATTAGTATTCACATATTAAAAGTGTGCAATGCTGAGGCTGAGAGAGAAGTTATTAGCATAACATCAGCCATTTTGTTCTTGCTATTGTTAAACATCAGGAGTCAAAAATTCTTTCCCATCCAGTATAATCACACAGCAACCTATTAGGAGGACTCAGTCTGTCTCTTACAAAGTAGTTTCCTATTTTTTTTTCACTCCTCAAAAGGTTTTGAGAAGAGTGCTGTAACCATTGAACCCATCTAGTTCAAGGGCAGAACTTGGAAGTAATTAGACATGGGCAACATAGTTATGGTAGCTAATTACTTTGGGGCAACATGTAATTTAACTAGTAGTCACAAAATTCTTTTAGGTGTAATGAGTAATATATTACTAGAGTGTATCAAGTAATGCCTAGTTAAAGGGTATTTTGAAAAGACATTTTAAGGCATTTCAAAGACATATTGACAGGAACTTTTCAGGGTTTTTGATCCCTTGTCATACCAGTCCTAAGTGGCGGGGAACATATTCCTTGGTTGTCTTTTGGATTTCTAATATTTCCAAGGTGCAGTATTGGAATGGGCCAGTAGAAGAATCCAGAGAGGACGCCTCTGTCCTTTTTCCTGGTCCTCCCATAAGACAGCACAGTTAACAACACACAGCACAACAAATTGCTTCTAGGGTTGGAGCATTGATGAGGGTAAGGGGAATCTGGCTGCAGAGATTAAAGGGTAATTTTAAAGATTGAGTGTGGGCAAATATCAGTTTTGTTGTTGAATCTATTTTTAGTACTGTATTCTGTTACCATACTGCTTTCAATATTCTGGGAGTTGTCGCTCAGAAGCACTTTTTTTTCAAGATTGAGCTTTTCCCCTAGGTTGTCCTTATTTGTGCCAATATATGATAATCCCTTGTTTTTCTTTGTCAGCTCTTGTGAAAGTTGCTGTTGCTTTGCAGCTCAGTCTTAAATGCAGTTAAGACACAAACGTGTGCCCTCTTGAGTCCTGTGTAAATTCAGTAACAGCTCTGATTTTTGTATTGAATACTCATTATGCAGTATTTAAAGCAAGCAGAGAGATTTGTGTACCCTTGCGGTTTGTCTTCAGGTTCTATCAGCCACAACCAGCCTTGGAATGGTGGGGATGTAGTTCATTAATATTTGAAAGGCTGCACGCACACATGTGCTTGAGCGCATGTGCACAAACATGCATTGGTGTGTAGAGAAGGCACCACAAGGAGGACAGTAACTTATTGCACAACTAGAATGACATTGTCATCAGTGGCAGACTGCCAGTAAGGGAAGGTGTCCTTTTTTCAATTTTGAGGATCCTGCAACTTGGTCCCTTTTCACCCAAATCATGAACATCCCAAAACTAAAACAAGAAGTCTTTAATCAGGAACATGCTGTCATTGATAATATTGTTCCCATTGTGCAGAGGGAACTGCGCAACAGGATACTGACAGACGGATTTTAACTCTTTCCTCGAGTCCCTGTTTTCCTGATCTAGATCTCCCTGCCCATTATATCATCCCTCAACAAAGTAGGAAATACTTTGTTCAGTCGGGGATCTCTCTCCCTTCCTCAGGGAAAGAGAAGAAAGGTATTCCAGCCATTTTTTTCAGCTGATAATTGCAAATTTCAAAATGATCAGCAGCTGGTAATTTCAGGGAGGGCTTTAGATCTGGAAAATAATGAAACACTTTCCCCCTTAGCCCAACTGATCAATCAAAATGGGCTCTTCCCCTTCCCAGTTCAGGGGTTGCTTTAAGATGAGAAGGGGGGGGGACACCTCCCTATGAGGTCCAACCACAGGATCTCCAGACTGTGACTACTTTGACGCTGAGCCCATTGCCTCTGTCCAGTGAAGGAAATGTCTGCCTACCAAGATGAACACCAAATTAAATTTTACATCCTCAGTAATGCAAGGCATGTCACTGTTAGGACATGCCTTGCATTAGTTCATTGACGTGTATCTATAAAGATCTCTCTTCTCTTTCAACCAGGAGACGGCCCTGAAATCTCTGGGAAATGAAGGCCTTTTCCTCTTCTCTTCCTTGGATACTAACAACGACCTGTTCATCAGTCCAGAGGAGTTCAAGCCAATTGCAGAGAAGCTAACTGGTAGGCCTTTTGTTCCTTACACACACTGATGTCTCGTAAGCGTTGCTCCCAGAGGGCTGTCCTCCTTCTCCTCCCGCCTTCTTCTTCTTCTTTTCAAGTATGCCCTGTCTAGTTTGTCCAGATTACTCCTGATATGTGCTGGTTTTTTTTCCCTGGGGAGCAGTCTCTGCTCCAAAAAGGAAAAGAGCTTATACTCCATCCCAGGAAGACTGGAATCTCTGAAACCGTCTCAGGCTTCCTTTGTCATCAATTTCCCTGGCAAGCAGAGAATGACTTCCCAGTATTTTATTCAAACCCAAATTACACTGAATTAACGTGAACTACACTCTTGCTATAGTGGTTCTATTAGCAAAGCAATAGGACATTTCTGTTCGAGGAACATCACCCACGTCAGTGTAATGTTGCCAAAATTCTGTAGAGTGTATTCAAAACATTTTACTTTGTTTTTCCACCGCATGGTTCTTGTGTCAATGCATGACTCATGAGATGACTCGACATTTAAAATCGGGGTGATCCTGCTCCCTCACCATTGGCAAGGTGGCTAGGGCTGATGGGGAACTGGAGTTCAACAACATCTACAAAGTGAAAAAAGCCGTAACAATACTGTCCTAGCAAGAAGAAAAGGAAGTCTGGCACAAGGTAAAGAAAATTCTGCACAGTGAAAGAGTGTGCAAGCGGATTGGGACCCCAGGAAAAACAGCTTGGCTCCAAGGCCCGAGTTCCCCACCTCTACTGCAGGTAATACCTAGGAATATGAGAGTGAGGCTGGCTCTAGTAGTTTTCCCAGATTTAAAGGGAATTTCTGATCCAGTTGATTGCTGAACTAAGGCCTTCATGGGCAGATCTTGAATTTCAAGAGAGTCACAGCCACTGGAGAAATCAAAGGAATGGTCTCCCGCCTAGTAGCATCCTGGAATCATAATCTTTTAACATTTGAAGAAATGATCGGTCAACATCCCCAGACTCCAAGAGTTTCATCTATGCTGATGATCTTGCCTTGACAGTCCAGGGAGGAACCTTTGAGACTGTTGAGCACCAGCAAAGCTGAGTTACAATATCCCTTGCCTGCCGCCATGAGATACGGTGGCCTGACTTTATTAGCTCTATCCGCTGGTGCAGAGTTCCCATAGGACTGCATATGAAGGTCCTGCCTGCCCATAACAAATGTTTGTTCCATTGTATTCTGGGGAGTGAAGTTTATTATTCATTAAAAGAAATAAGAAAATTTAAGAACCCACTAAACTCGGTCTTCCCTCTTTCTAAGAGAAAATTACAATTTGTCATGGAAGAAATGACTGACTTTTCTGTGCTCAGCATCTCAGGTAGAGATAGCCATGCATACAAAGAAATATTGTTCCCATTAAGAAATTTGAAGAATAGCCTAGAAACTGCAGTAATAACAGGGAAAATGACATATTGAGTGAAGACACTGGAACATAGTGATTTTGTAAGTCTTGTGTTTTCCATTTATTGATTTTGTGAGTCACAACAATCCACTTATTTCTGCCTGATACTCACTCAAGTTTATAGCATGAGTTTATGGTATTTACGCTTATGATATGATTTCTTAACAGACCCTCCTCATGAATACTTTTCTGCCAATGAGTGTGTCATAGTAATTCTTCATGATCATTACCCATAGTACAGACTGCTTTCTTTTAGCTGTTTCTGGTTATTTTGTGTTCTGTCTTTTGTTTATAGAATTCAGTGCAAAATAGGATGATATTTCACAAATGCTGCTGGAAAAAAGTGATCATTTTAGTACAAAGCTTCTTGAAAAATGACTCACAATAATTAAAAAAAACAATTTTTTTGATAATGATAAAAACATTTTCCCTAATTGAGTCATGATGGATAAGCATTACAGTGTGTGGACCACGATAACTGTGTGCATGACTCAGTCAGCCTAGTTTTAATGTTTTTCTCATTTAAATGAAGGATGGATGATGGCATGGAGGCATCATATAGGGCATTGCAGGACCTGTTTTGCATTTCTTCTGGAGCAGCTGCCTAGGGACCAGTTTGCAGCCCATGCAGCTGCATGAAGGAGCATGGGCTACCAGGTGGCCTACAGGATGATGGCATGGAGGCATCATCATAGGGCATTGCAGGACCTGTTCTCCATTTCTTCTGGAGCAGCTGCCTAGGGATCAGTTTGCAGCCCATGCAGCTGCGTGAAGGAGCATGGGCTACCAGGTGGCCTACCTAAGGCCCAGGTTTTCTGCGGGGGACTCTTTTAAAAAAGCTGCCCTCTTGCCCCGGTCCCTTTGGACATGTAGATGACCTGCCTCTTGGTCATTTCTTGGAAATGCTTCATGGGCAGCCTATGCCATAGGTACCTAAAAGCTGAAGTGTGTGTCCATCTGTCCTGCCTGCACCACACAATTTCTCGTGCTTTAATTCTCTTTGCTCAAATCCTGAGCTGATTTACACAAACGACAGGCTGCTAAGCCTTTGTGTTTTTCAAAAGGCTTAGGCACCGGACGCCACTCTCACAAAAGGGCAGTTTTTCTAAATCTGCGGTTCCCATTGTCAAGCTTGCGAAACTGCACACATTGGCTTTGTCAGGGGCTTAGAAGGGATTCGGACCAGCTGAATGCAGGAGATACAGCTCTGCGGTAATATGACCCGAGAACTGCTGGTGGCAAGATACAGGCAGGTTGCTCTGATCTCAAGAATCCCTTTTGCATATGGAAATTGCAGCTCTTGCTCCTGTCGGTTGCTTGCTGTCCTGATGATTCTTGCTCTAATGCATCTGGTTGCTTTCACAGTCAGTGTCTGGGGGAAGATTTGGCCTCCGTTTTATCCTCTGCCCATCTGCAGAATGGATAATGCTGATTGCAAAATTATGGTTGGTTTGCTAGGCTTCACAGCTGGTTTCCTCCCATGAGTATGAGGACCTATGAATACATCTCATCCTCCGCGCTTGCACCAAAAAGATCCATGGCAGCATCTGCATGGGCACTGAGAACTTTCCAGCTGAAGGCAAGAACAGACGACTTCGGTAGACCTAGTGTCCAAATTTTTGCCCCCCAGAACCTGTAGCAAGTCATCTTGGGAAATAACATAATACGTAATTTTAAAAAACCCAACACAATCGAAATGCTCGCTCTGATCGCTGCTACCCCTTCCTGGGTGTAGGGCAGGAGGGCCAAGTCCTCCACCATGGATTCTGTTGATTCCGCAGGCGAAGAGGGGGGCAAGAATTTTATCTAGCCACTCAACCAGTCACAAAGGTCCTCCCATGCAGGCAAAGAGGGGCAACAGGATGATCTTGCCACTCAACCAGTCACAAAGGTCCTCCCACCCTGTTCTGTTCCCTGATTATGCTCACGGGTCCCATGTCCTTAGTACTCCCCAGCTGGGCCTGAGTCGAAGTGATAGCCCCAGTGGCCAAGCACTCTGCAAGGACAGCCGGTGGGCCTGGACGGACACTTGCCCTCCTGCGGGCAGCTGCTCCTCCCGCTCCTCAGTCAGCTGCCCCAACCATTGGTGTCGGCTGTGTCACCTCCAGTATAGCTTCTCAGTCAAGGTGGGACTCTCTGGCTGTAGAGTGGAGGGGTGTCTGCACAGCCTTCTCTCTGTGGTCCAGGCACGGTGGGGTGCAGTGCCCAGTTCACCAGCTCTCGGCCCCGGGTAAACCTTGTCCCACCCCCCACCCCTGGTCCAGGGCGCCTCTTCCTCCTCCAGGACGCAGACAAGTGGCTGTTTCTCTAGGGCCTCCGGCCAGTCCCCCCTCGTTTTCCTCCTCTTTATTTCTTTGCTCCCAGCTGGTCCCACCTCCCAGCTGCCCCTGTGCCCTCCTTCTGGGTCCCCCATTCCTTGGCCTCCCCTTGTTTGTCCCCTGTTTGGGGCTGCCCTGGAACAGGTATCTTGGGAACGTCTTCCAGAGGACCTGCAGGCGAGATGGAGGTTGTTGTGGGTTTTTCGGGCTCTTTGTCCATGTTCTGAAGGTTGTTCTTCCTGACGTTTCGCCAATCTCTGTGGCTGGGCATCTTCAGAGGACTGGAGCGGGAACTCTGTCCATGCTTCTTCCATTTCATCCCTGGTTTCTTTTGCGTTTCGAAGGAGGTGGGTGGAGGGAGCCCTCCCACCCTATGTTATGTAAAATACCTGCTTTCTGGAGGGCTCCAGGAGCTGGACTCCCCACCCCAGGATTGGGAGGGCTTCACAGGACTTGCAAAAAATGGCCATGGGAGGGAAGGTGCCTTTTGCTGCCGCTTAGCAAAGTCTTCCTTTTCATCCCTGGTTTCTTTTGCGTTTCAAAGGAGGTGGGTGGAGGGAGCCCTCCCACCCTATGTTATGTAAAATACCTGCTTTCTGGAGGGCTCCAGGAGCTGGACTCCCCACCCCAGGATTGGGAGGGCTTCACAGGACTTGCAAAAAATGGCCATGGGAGGGAAGGTGCCTTTTGCTGCCGCTTAGCAAAGGGCACCAGATGCTCCCCAGTTTGTGGACTTGTGCCCTCTTGGCAGACTGGTCGCCTTGCCTTTGACCGTGTCCTTGCCCCAGAACACCTTCACAGCACCGTGTACGACACACTCCGAAAGGCTTCCAGCTAGATAAGTCCTGTGCCTCCTGTTTCAGTCTGGTGCGAGATAACATGGTTGTGCAGCACTGTTTCGAATGAAGAGGAGGGACTGGAAGCAGTCCATAAACTCTGCTTAACCCCATCATATCCCCTTGGAATATGGCCAAGATGCATAGTACTTTATGGGTACTGCGTGCACTTTGCACGATCAAGCTGAGAGCATATACTGTGTTTTTGGAGACCCTTCAAAGAGAAATGCAAGAGAGTACAAGTTGGTTGTTGGCGATCTCTTGCTGCCCCCTGGTGCATGGAGGTAGAACTACTTACCTGTGTCTCTTTGTAGACTTTTCTTGTCAGGTTAAGGGCCAGTTCACAGAATCCCATATGGCAGGTGGGCTGAACAGGTTCAGGTCTCTGGGTGCTTTTTGAGAAAAGACAGAGCACGGCTCTCAACTCACAAATAACATGTTCTGCTGCTCAACCCATTTCTGCCTGATTTTGTCATGGTGAGTCAACACAGATGGCCTTGCATTGCAGAGTGGATGCACGAGAGAGCAGAAAGGCAACCCACATGTGCTCAGATCTTTCCAGCCCCTATCTCAGATTGCCTGCGTTGTTCTGTGAACCATCTGTCCTCTCTGAGTCTATCCGCCTTCTGCACCTTAGCTGGTGAGGCGGGGGAGATCCCTCTTGGATTCAAGCAGCAGGTGCCAGCCGTATGGGCCAGAGAGAGACGCTTCCATCGTTCTGCATTGGTTGCCCATCATCCTCTCTTTTTTCTTTCCCTCGTGGATTCACCTCTCCCTTTGGCACTCTTTTGCTTTTCTTCCTAAAGTCTCTTATCTTTAGACTCCACACCTGGCAGTATAGCATGTATTATTTCTATCTATTGTATGGTGACTAGCAGTTTCCGACACTTTTTAATTAAATAGAAAGGAGGCCGTTTCAGTATCAGGTAGCTGAAGTCATTGATGACAGGTCTGGAAAGATAAAGTGGGGGAAATCACAGCTTGCGGCAGAAGTGGAATTATTCCTGAAAGAGTTGAGATAAGAGGCAGAGCATGGAAAAATTATCTTCTGGACTACAATTCTCAGAATTTTCGAAGAATTCTCTAAGCAACACTGGCTGGGAGATTTTGGGGGCTGTCATCCAAAAAATTAATTTTTTCCAAGCTCTGACAATTGGTCAGGATGGGTCGGCTTCTTTCTGTAAGACTTCAGCCTAGCCCATATCATTGTGTAAATCTTTTGAATCTGAACTCTCCTCTTTTGTAAAGAGAAGATGCTATAGAAAGAAGAAGAAGAAATAAAAAACGTCCATGAAGTAAATTTCATTTCTTCTATATCATTCTACAGTTGCTGTAATGAATTCACCAGGTACTTCCAGATGATGGTTTTCTCACACCATCAGACAAAAGGCATTATGCAGCTGCTCTTTCTTTTCCTCCTTGTGTGTGTGTGTGGGGGGGGGGGGTGTGTTTCTTGCTATTACGTTTTCCTTTCAGGCAAATGATTCTTTCAGTGAGGTCTATGTTCCCCTGCTGATGACCATTCATGAAACAAAACCAAGCTACTTCTGCCGTGTAGAGTGAGATGAGCTTATGCTAAGATAAACAGGCATGCTTACAAATTAAAGGAGATCTGTTTGAGCACATACACCTAACCCTCAAAAATATGTAAATCAAACAAGACAATTGCATTGTAAAAGAACTCAGTCTGGAAGCCCCAGGAGGTTTTTCCTTAATAAAGTTTTGTGCAATCTCTCATTAAAAGGTAGAATTTGTACCAGCTTCCTGCTGATATTGTGTTAATAACAAACTCATTCATACATACTTTCCTGTTGTTTCCTTTGCCCTGTTCAGGCATTGTTCCGGCTGCTAGCGCTGAGGAGGAAGAGGTGCTGGATCCCAGTGGAGAAACCATCTCAGTCTTGGCCAGATTCCAGCCCCTGCTGATGGAAACCATGACAAAAAGCAAGGACGGCTTCCTTGGTGTGAGTATGGCATCGAATGAGCACTGGAACTAGTTTGATGAAAGATGATGTGGTGCAAGAGAATCAGTTTGAATCAAGAGTGAAGCAAAGGCAGACTTGAGTTTTGATTCATTGATATTACCCTATCGGGGAATACAGAAGAAGAATTTAAGATGGCCTTGTAAAAGTAGCTCAGTACAAACGCCAGATCCAGTGTGTGAGGAAGAAAGCTTACCTGTAATGGACGGATCGATTCATTCATTCATTCATTCATTCATTCATTCATTCATTCATTCATTCATTCATTCATTCATTCATTCATTCATTCATTCATTCATTCATTCATTCAAACTAATTTTAACCCACTTTTCTCCTTTAAAAAGTACCCAAGGTATCTTGCAGCAGCTGAAATACAGTACAGTGGTGCCTCGCTTGATGACGTTAATTCGTTCCATCGAAATCGCTGTAGAGAGAAAACGTTGTCAAACAAAATAAAAAAAAACAATTGAAACACATTGAAAACCATTCAATGCATTCCAGTGGGCTGAATACCTGCTCGTCCAGCAAAGATCCTCCATAGGGTGGCCATTTTCTGGTGCCTGTAGTGCGAAAATTCAGTCCAAAAAACAAAGGGGGGCCATTTTCTTCAGCCGGCAGCCATTTTGAAACCCGACAATCAGCTGTTTGCTGATCGTCGCAAAGCGGAGATTGGTTCCTGAAGCAGGGAACCGACCATTGCACAGCGAAAAAACCTCATTTAAACCATCGTTTTGCGATTGCAAAAGCGATCGCAAAACCATCAAGGATGAGCGGATTCATCGTTAAACGGAGTAATCATCCAGCGGGGCACAACTGTATTTAAGTTAATAGCAATGAGTATACAGTACTAAAAGAATCAATGAATACAATGCAAGAATCCGCCATAAACAACACCAAAATACATTCAAAGCAGTAAGGTACAAAAATCCATTTTAAACCCCCACCCCCACCCGGCATGACAACAAGATCAGTTTCTTAGAGAGCCCGTCTGTCTTTTCAGGTTTCTCACCTTGCCCTTTCTGGGCTTCGCAACTGGACGGCTCCAGCATCTCCTGTGAGTGTGATGTTTGCCCGGCAATTCAAGGCTTTCCTTCCACCAAAGAACAAGGTGGAACTGGGTGATCCATGGTGGGTCATTCCTAGTGAACTCAACATCTTTACAGGGTATCTTCCCAACAATCGCTTTTACCCTCCGGCTCCCAAAGGCAAAGAGGTAAGAAGTTTGCTTTTTTAAAAACTGATACTCATCATAATAAATGGCATGAAGTAGAGAGCATGTTTCATTTGTCCAAAGGACTTTGTACGGACAGTTTTTAAAATAGTCTTCAGCACCAGGCAAGTAAAGAAGGCTGGTGCTTTTATTGAATGTGACATATTAAAGACCGGGAACACCCTGTTGTGATCACAACTGCTTCTCGGCCTTTTGGCTAAGATCAAATGTAGTGCTTGGGATGGTGAAGGTTGTAAATTACTGAAGGAGACCAAGGAAACAGGGAAGACAATCTTTTCTAGTCAGATCCAAGATGTTGCTGATCAAACCTGAGCTTGGAATTTGATCCTTATGTTCCCAGACACATTTTCACTGCTGCCTTCTGCTCTTTTCTGCAGATTTTAATTCACAAACTCTTGAGTATGTTCCACCCCCGGCCTTTTGTGAAAACTCGCTTTGCTCCTCAAGGAACCGTAGCCTGCATCCAAGCTGTTGCTGATTTCTACTATAAGATTGCTTTCAGGTAAAGTACCCTCCGAGGAAAGGACTGACACTTGGACTGTGTTTGTATCTCCGGGTCTGTGTGCATCTGTGCAAAAAGCACTTTTGGTGCAGCAGCCTTGGTGTGTCTTTTTCGTAGGTCAGAATTGGTATGGGCGAAAAGGGATGACTAAGGGCCTGATGGAGGGATGGAGAGGACTGCAGAGAACAGAAGGAAGATGAATTGAATAGTTTGGTCCTGGTGGAGAATGTGTGATTCTTAGCAGCTGAGAAAGTGTAACTTATGGCTGAGAGCTGCATGGGACTCCTCAATCCTGCTTGAAAATATTAGGATTCCCTCCCACCCCACCCTGGAGAACAGCTCCAGAATTCCCCAGTCAGCAAAGCTAATGATTCTGCTACCTAAGAGATTGGTTATATTGTAATTCAAGAAGTACCTTTTCAAAGCCCTGCTCTGGAATATGGTCCTGTGTAGGATTCTGTTTTTTCTGCTTCCAGCCTTGCTCCCTTACCCAAAGAAAAGGCCTCTGAGCTAGCTAACAAAGTTGTCAGAGTCCCTCCACAACCCTGCCCTGTTGTGCTTCTGTTTTTGTGCCTTGCTTGATAGCTGTCTTTTGTTTCAGGATCCATGCAGAGTTCCAACTGAACGAACCCCCAGATTTCCCATTCTGGTTTTCACCTGCTCAGTTTACAGGCTACATTGTTCTCTCCAAGGATTCCTCCCACGTTCGAGAATTCAAGCTATTTGTCCCTAACAACAGGTAAGTTTCTCCCACTTCTAGTGTCTACTGAGTTAAATGGCTTTTTGTGTAAAATGTGTGAACCTAAGACTTTGAGTTGATTTTGTATTCTTTTATTTTAAGCCTAGAATCTAAGCTTTTAAAATCAGTGTCCTTGATATTGTCTGTTTGTCGAACCAGATGTGACTTAGGTTATTATTCTTAACAGGCTTCAAACTGAAAGGCACTCTCTTTCCTTAGACACCTGCCAGTGCACTTAGCCCTATTCAGTGCTTGCACACCAGCTGAGTTTTTGCAAGTTAGCCTAGAAATCTACTGGCTTCAGGACCTTTCATGCAAGCCAAAAAAAAAACCTAGTTATTTCATTAGACGTTAGGGCAGCTGTGAATGGATTCTGTTTACTCTGTCTTCTTTGTGGTGTGGTGTTGTGACCTGCTTTATTTCTCTTGAAAGGAGGTTGGTGTTGTTTTTCTTCTCTTTCTCAGGTTGGTTGTCTCACTTTACTGTTAGACCCTCTTTTTTTACATTGCAGCAGAATGACACAGAGTTTGCAAGCTTTCAGGTATTCATTGTGGCCCCAGGAACCTCAGAGCTCCTACAGATCACCCATAATCCAGAGTCTGTTTTAACTCTGACCCCCCTCATAGATACCCATGAGGAGGCCATTCATGGCTTCTCGAAGCTGCCTTGCCTAACTAGAAGCACAGCGCTTACAGAAGGTACGGCAACCCCAGTTTTCGTTGCGCATGGAACTGCTGTTTCTGATAGCACTGGTTTTCCCCATTAGGTCTCTCAATGTGGACATGGAGTGGCTCTACGGAGCCCTTGAGAGCAGCAACATGGAGGTGGATATAGGATACTTACCTCAGGTCTGTAGCAAAAGCTGTTTTAGGATGATCTTCTTTCTATTCCATTTCCATTGTTTACCAGGAAATGCAGAAGTCACTGGTGCTTACCGAGTTAAGTGCTTTGTCTTGTTCTTGTCCTACAGATGGAGCTAGAATCTCTGGGGCCGTCCATCCCTTCCGTGATTCATGATGAAAACGGGAATGTGATTGACAGCAGAGAAGGGGAACCCATTCAGTTCATCTTTGAAGACATCGCCTGGCAGGGAGAAATAAGCTGGGAAGAGGCAGTCAGCAAACTGGAAGTGGCCATGTATCCCTTTAAGAAAGTATGAAACGAGAGTCCTTGACTTCCCTTTAGAAGCGTGTCTGTGACGGTTACATTATTATGTCCGTGCTTTGATGAGAAAGGGCTAACGCCAGGAGCTATCCTTGTTCGATCTGGTGGCTGTGAAAGCGACAAAGTATTCCAGTTCGAGAGACTGGAAATTTTACAGGTTTAGATGACAGCTCCCATGATCCCCCAGCCGACAACATTGTCAAACGACAGAGGAAGTGTGAGACCAAGCCGAGCTCTCTTTGGCACCGTGAAACTCTTTAAGTGGTACATCATCCATCCTTCGCTTTCCCAGGAATCTCTGGGGTCGTTTTGAATGAAGCAAGAGAAGCGAGGTTTCTAAGAGCATTTTGTTGCTCTAAGAAGAGCAGGACGAGCAGTACTCTCAGTGCAGTGCTTTCCTTATCGGCAGAGACACATAGGCCAGTGGTTGCAGTCTGTGCAGGTGCTGTGGTCCTTCACTCTCATTTTGTTTGCCACCACTGTGAGAGGGCCTCTGCCTGACATGGTTTAAGGGCCTTCTGGGCTCTGCCGGGCCCAGAACTTTCACTTGGGGGTAAGAGGAGGGCAGCAGCACTGTGCAATGCGTAAATATATCAAGTGTTGGGTGGCAAAATGCCACCTTCTACAGAAGACAGTCCTCCACATGAAGGGCTGGTAGAGAATAGTCCCCTTTTTTGAAGGTGTCCTGCATTTGAAGGGTCTCACCTTCTACAGAAGACAGTCATCCCCATGAAGGGCTGGTAGAGAATACAGTGGTGCGTCGCTTAACGAGCGCAACGTATAACGACGAAATCGCATAGCGATGGGGTCTCAGCGATCGCAAATGCGATCACATACCGATGGCCCCTATGGGCAAAACTCGCTTTGCAAAGATCGGTAAGCCAACAATCAGCTGTTCGGCGGCTCCAAAATGGCCGCTGGAAGCCCCGAAATGGCCGCCCGGCGCGATCAGCAGAGACACATAGGCCAGTGGTTACAGTCTGTGCAGGTGCTGTGGTCCTTCACTCTCATTTTGTTTGCCACCACTGTAAGAGGGCCTCTGCCTGGCATGGTTTAGGGGCCTTCTGGGCTCTGCCGGGCCCAGGACTTTCACTTGGGGGTAAGAGGAGAGCAGCAGCACTGTGCAATGTGTAAATATATCAAGTGTTGGGTGGCAAAATGCCACCTTCTACAGAAGACAGTCCTCCACATGAAGGGCTGGTAGAGAATAGTCCCCTTTTTTGAAGGTGTCCTGCATTTGAAGGGTCACCCAGTTTGATTTAAAGACAGAGAACCGTACGGAGGGAGATCTGGACAGTAGAGTCAACAGTAGAGTCAGTGCTTGTGTCACATGCCTTTTAATTAGGTTTCCGTTACAAACAGAAATTCTCATTTTTTTATCGGCCTATGCAGTTCTCTGCTTTTCGATGATGTTTAAGTGGCCACTCTCTCAAGCATCACCTGAATTATCTGGCTTGCTTTGATTTCTGTGTCTTCTTTGCTTCTTCTGCTTCTAGGTTTCCTACCTTCCTTTTACACAAGCTTTTGAGCGAGCAAAATCAGAGAACAAACTCGTCCACTCTATCCTGTTGTGGGGTGCGCTAGATGATCAGTCATGCTGAGGTAGGTGTATTTCACACTTGGGCTGTGGAATGTGTCAAGGTGCCCCAAGTTGTCTCTCCCCCCCCCCATTTCCCTCCTAAGTGAAATAAATTGTAAGGGGTTGATAGAGAAGTTACTTATGATTGCCATCAATTTAATATGTAACACCCTCCACTTGGGCTGTCAGGTGTTTCAACACACAGTGGCCAGAATTTTGTTGGGTTTTTCACTAGCCCATGAAACAAAAACCCAGAGGTTGCAACAGATGTTTGAAACGAAAGTGATTAGTGAGGTGCTGTTTTGTGTGCTTGGTCATGTGACCAGTACTTTATGAATTAGCTTCAGTTAGCCATTGCAACTTTCATTTTTGCCCTTATGGTATAAAACAGAACTCAACAGGATTCTGGCCTTTGTCTTCTAAGTGGATTAACAAATGAAAAGTTGTTGTTGTTCAGTTGTTCAGTTGTGTCCGACTCTTCGTAACCCCATGGACCAGAGCACACCAGGCCCTCCCTGTCTTCCACAGCTTCCCGGAGTTGGGTCAAATTCATTTTGGTTGCTTCGATGACAGTGTCCAACCATCTTGTCCCCTGTCTCCATTCTCCTCTTGCCTTCACAAAATGAAAAGTACACATTGCTCATAAATTATCACAGGATTGAGTTCATTGTGACATTTCACTTCATCTTTTTTCTCTCCCTGGGCAGGCTCAGGGCGAACTCTCCGGGAAACCGTCCTGGAAAGTTCGCCCATCCTCACTTTTCTGAATGAAAGTTTTATCAATAGCTGGTCGCTGGTGAAGGAACTGGAGGATTTACAGATATGAAAAGTACACATTGCTCATAAATTATCACAGGATTGAGTTCATTGTGACATTTCACTTCATCTTTTTTCTCTCCCTGGGCAGGCTCAGGGCGAACTCTCCGGGAAACCGTCCTGGAAAGTTCGCCCATCCTCACTTTTCTGAATGAAAGTTTTATCAATAGCTGGTCGCTGGTGAAGGAACTGGAGGATTTACAGGTGAGTTTAAATATAGCACACAGTAGTAGCTGGACAGCACAGGAAGCTGAAGGGAAACCTGGAATGGACACATCAGCATTTCAGAAACTTCTGCACGCTCACTCTTTTTGTCTTCCCTGATAAACTGGGCTGAACTTAGGGCTGTCTCTATGTAATTTTTCTTTGATTAGTCAGTTAAATGCATTCCTGTATATCAAACCTTCATGTGTAGTACCTTTTAGAAGTGGAGAACTGTTTTACAACTTTAAAACTGAAAGGTACAACTACTTGTTGCTTTAAGGAAATGCAATCTTTAATATTTGTCGTACTATACAAATAACTTATTGAAACTCTGTGTTTAAAGGGTGATAACCCCTTTTACATTGTCGTTTCTGTCCACCACTGTTTGTTCGTTATTTTTTGTTATTATTTGTTATTGAGGGATGGGTTGCTTCTTCTATTCCTCATACACAAGTTCAGATTTTGAAATCGAAACAGTAGATGTACCTGTGAATAAATAAATGTGTTACATGAGTATGAATAGATAATTGTATTTGTTGTGTGATGCATCCATTCCAGGACTATACAAATAACTTCTTGAAACTTTATGTTTAAAGGGTGGTGACCCCTTTTACATTGTCGTTTCTGTCCACCTATTTCTTTTTACAAAAGAAAAGAAATGTGGGTGTATTGTTATGATAAGGGGGAGAGATGATCTGTCACTTTGATCAATGGGTGTCATTAGCTGGTCTTTTGTGTGCACTGATCAAACACTGTCTGCTTAATTTCTCATGTGACCTAGTCCAGGGTGCCCCCACTGGTGACTAATGGCTCCCACCAGCACAGCTAAACATTTAGTACTAGTACTGATATTCAAGTTTCAGCATTACAGGGCTGTTAAAATCCCATTGCGTTTTAGTCCAAACAGAACAGATATTGAGAGGGTCAGTGGTTAATATTCACATGTACAAAATGATTATACAAATCATTATCTTTCTGTTCATTTAGCCCTGCTAAGGCATTTGATTGCAGCAGTGGTTAATGTTCACATGTGATTATACAAATCATTATCTTTCTGTTCATTTAGCCCTGGTAAGGCATTTGATTGCAAAGAAAGGTGACCAGAACATAACAAAAATGTCGAACTTTCTGTCTTAACCAGCGCTACTTCATATTCCACCTCTTCCCAGATGAACTACAGTTCCCATTACCCCCAGCCAGCCTGTGACACTCACCACCTGGAGGCCACCATATTGAGGATGGCTCCTCCTTATGTTTCCTAATACAATAATGGAGGTGGCTCTTTGTAATAGCTCAACTTCCACCCTACTCAGTTGTGGTTGTGACTTTAATTTATGGATTTTACAAAAGGAGAACAATGGAATTAGTGAAGTCCCAATTAAAACGAATTAAAGCAGGTGTGACATAAAGCATTTCCAAAGTAATGTGAAACGTAAACTATGCCCAAATGTTAAAAACTAATTTCTTGGTGTAGTAACTCTTTTATCTTGATGCAAGTTCAGAAATATTAACCATTCAATGCTTTCTCGAAGGCTTTCACAGCTGGGATCTGATGGTTGTTGTAGGTCTTTCAGGTTGTTTGGCCATGTTCTTGCAATATTAAAGAGGGCCAAACAGCCCGAAAAACCTACAACAACTATCATTCAATGCTTTATTTAAAAAAAAAAAATTGAGGGCATCGTTATGCCTTCTAATGATTTAGATTTGAAGTATCATTCAGTGCTTTATTTTCTTAAAAAAAATGGGGGCATAGTTATGCCTTCTAATGATTTAGATTTGAAGGACAAGCTTGCAAGTATAAATGACCCCAAAGATGCCATTGAAATTAATATTGGGTCCCATTGTCACGCACCTCAGACACTGACTCCTCCACTCTGCAGTATATCATAATTATGATTTCTTACTTTTAAGTTTAACTAGAGTAATTGTTCTGTATCCTATTTTCAAACTACGATCGGATTGGAGTCTGACCCCAGTGTCAGACAATATAAATGTTTCTTACAAAGATAAAAAAAAATCTGAAACACTTGGTGCCCATTTTTCCGTAGGCGAAGAGAGAGGATGAGATCAACAGCAAACTGGCAGGTCTCCATCTTGAAAAGTATAACTTCCCAGTGGAGATCATGATCTGCCTGCCCAATGGCACCGTGGTAGGGCTACGGCTCTGTTTTTTTCTTATTGAATGGTTGGTAGATGCCTGTTGGGAGGGACGTTGTCTTTACTCTGATATACTTGAAATAGGTGCTGACTTTCTGACATATACTTTTGCCTCTCAAGAGAAAAAGATCTCATTTGGACTTCATGTAAGAAGGACACATTTGACTTCTGCCGGTCTCCAAAGAAAGTTACTTTTTAAAACTTATATAGCCTGTTAAAAGGCCCTGAAAGTTAATTTATTAGAATAAAATGTACCTTTTTTTCTTCAAGGTTGTAAACATAATTTTTCTGAATTATAACTCCCACATAGCTTTGCTGTGATTGAGGAATGTGGGGAGTCCTAGTTTAAAAAAAAGGAATGTCTTTAAAGCTCTCTCTTTTTTTTTCACCCAAAAGGCAAGTTCTTATGTTGCTTTGTTTTGCTCATTCTTTCTTCAATTTTTTTTTTGAGAGAAGATCCATCATGATATCATTTCAGTGTAACTAAAATAAGGGGGAAAAGTATTGCGGGAACTTAAAGACTTAGAAGATTTGTTTTGTCAAGAGCTTTCATGGATTATAATTCATTTCTTCAGATGCACTGAATATAGTATTGGAATCAGAAGAAAGAATCTGCATGTGAGGTGTGAAATGTTGGAGTTCTTTTTTAAGCTCATGTTTAATTTTCCAGGTCCATCACATCAATGCCAACTATTTTCTGGATATTACTTCTATGAAGCCCGAAGAAGTTGAGAGCAGCATCTTTAGTTTTTCTGCCAGTTTTGAAGATCCCTCAACAGCAACCTACCTCCAGTTCCTTAAAGAAGGACTTCAGAAAGCAAAACCATTCTTGCAGACCTAAACTGCAAATCAGATCAATGTTGTACTGTTGTGAAGCACCAAAGATGCAGACGTTTTTCTTTCTGGCGCTTACTAAGCTCAGCCATGACAGTGTTGAGTCATAAAGTGCTTTACTAGGAATGAAAGGGCTCCCAACAAGGAAATGCCGCTTGAAAAAAAAAACAGCTGTAACATCTGTTACTACACATATTATTTTCAGGGTACTTCCAAAGAAGCTGGACGTATGCTTCTCTTACTGGCAAGTTGTGAAGCGTCTGAAAGAAGTTGTCGGGTGTCCAGCAAGAGGTTGGGAATAGTTCAGCAGAAAAGTTGGGGTTCCTAGTGTGATGTCAGGCTGTAAAGATCAGTCTCAAGCAAAGTCCAAATGGCCCGGAGGTGGTTTCCTTTAGTAAAAGGTTTTGCTGTGTAGCATTCTTGAATGGGATACTGTTCTTTTGCAGCTGGTCTGGAGTTTGACTCCTAAATTGCTAGTGTGCAGTTGACCTTTTAAGCTATAACACACCCTTTGGCTCCAAGTGACCTCAACAGGTCACAGTTGCCTTCAAGATCAGAGCTATAGTGAGTGACCCAAGGCAAGACCTGGTTGTGTGTTACACTCTCCCTGGTATCTGTGGACAGCTTAGATCCAGGCTACTGCACAAATGCAAGACACAAAAAAGTGATCTTTTGTCCAACCATTTCTGAATTTCCAGCCTGGCCTGCTATAGTTTTCCTCCTCTGTATGTCCAGTTGTTCTTTAAGGGAAGGGATGATTTAACCTGGGAGAACCCAATCAATCCTTTTATAGTTAAGAATCAGCTCTTAGCTCAGTCAAGGAGAATATCCCTTGTTACTTTTTGAAAGCACATACTGGATAAGTGCAATCACAATGATCATGTCGCTGCCAAAGTCAAGTAATATTTAAAGGTGATTTTACAGGACTAATTGTCTTATAGAAAAATTGCTCTCAGTTACAACCCTGTATCTCACCACTCCACAATCCTGGGATTTCTCTTAGCCTTAGGTCAAATCATCCTGCGATTATTTCTTTGTCATGTAATGCTGTCCATATTAATGTTTTAATTCCTGTTTTCAAATAGCTCATTAAGCACAAAAAAGAGGGAAATTTACATTGTCAAGAGTAGACGAATCAAAAAAATGAATCAACACTTCATAGAATACGATATTTAGATCTGCTGCATTATGGCAATCTTTCTCAAACTTATTTAACTGATTGTTTCCACCTTTTGAAGTTACACCTAACCTCTGGTTCTCCTGACACAGCACTAACAGTTTATTCCGCCATTGAATATGCAGAGATTCTCAAGTAAACTGATCTCTTAATCCAATTTTTGCCAACGAAAATAACAGGAGCGTTCTGCCTCTCCTAATGCAACACCCAGGGGGCTATAGTTAGAACCAAGAGAAAGCTCTTCCATTGTTTTGTTTTGTTTTTTTCTTACCAGATTGGGTTGAGAAATTGTTGCTCAGCAGTGGAATATGTATGTAGAGAATAGGCAGAAGGACAGTGCCTTGCGTCTCTAGCTGGAAAGGATGTCAATTAGCAGTTGATGTGAAGAAACGTCTTTGCCTTAGAAAAGGATACTAGGAAGTGTAATTTTTTTAAAGGTTTTTTTTTCCTTTTAAAAACTCTTCCTTTGAGAACCTAGAGAGTCAAGTCACCATCAGAGTGGACAGTACTAAGCTAAACAGACAAATGGTTTTACCTGGTATAAGCTAGCTTCCTATCATTGAGGGTCTTTTACCAGGAGTCATTCATCTTGAAGTCTCAGCTGGCATTAATTGTTTTGTTTTTCTTTGTCCTTGTTTTTGTTGGAAGATTCTTGTTCTTTTAAGGTCTTTATGATCTTCAGATTGAGAATCCTAGTCCACTCTGTCTAGGGCCAAACAGTGGAGGAATGCCCATCCAGCATGAAGGAAGCATAGAGATACAGATGATAAGAAACGAGCAGGCAGAGGTGGGAAGCTCAGATAGCCCAAGACTAAAGGTTGGTCAACGTGGAGTACATGGAGCGAGGCAGGAAGGATACTCGGCCATTTAGAACTGCCTCGTGTGCTGTTTAGACGGGGTACGCACTAAACAGTTTATATGTCCCTATAAAGCACTCCTACATGCATATGGAAGATGCATTTTACTGACACTTCCATCATACAGATATATGCATGTCAAGGTGCTGAAATGGGCCACAGCCTCCTTTCCATATGATGAAACAGTGATGCCCATAGTAGTGGATGCAGATTTGTGGATGCTGGAATTATGGGGTTCTTGCCTTTGTAGGGAAAACAAGATTTAGAGAGGACGGAGCCACAGATTGGGGGAATGAGAGCCCGTCATTCTAAACAGACAGCAGCAGTCCGAAAGGGCAGTCTTGAAAGACACTAAGATGGTACGGATGAAGTTAGTACCTATAATCTTAGAACAGCAAGGCTTGAAGGGGAACCGATGGATCATCAAGTCCAGCCCCAGTCAAGAAGGCCTGGTGGGGAATTGAACCCCCAACCTCTGTCTCTCTGGTGGGGAATTGAACCCCCAACATCTGGCTCCGCAGCCAGAGATCTAAACCACTGAACTATCCACGTTAGACTGGTTCAAGCTGGGGTTTTCTTTTGTTTTTTCCTTAATAATTCTTTGGTAGCTGTAGAATTGGGACATTCCGGCATTTTCTTCTGGCAGTATTTTAAAACTCTTTTGCAAAAATGTTGAATGTGTAAAAGGGAAAATGCAAGCAAGCAAGCATGGGGAACAATATTAAAAGTTTTAGGAAGATGTATAATTGAGAGGACTGCGTGGGAATGCCTCAGGTAGACAACAGTTAGCGTTTTTCTTCATTTCTAATTGGTTTTAAAATTGCTTTTTCCCCCCCATAAAAATTTAATGTTGCTGGAAGCCGAATTCTAGTACTCTTTCAGGCTTGTAGTGCAGACGGGACACAAGTAGAAGACCATTAAAAGCAACTACTTGGCACAGCGCAGAAATCTGCTTGACAAATGTTTTCGGTTCTTACCAGAAAAGGCTCTGTCTTATTTTGTACTTTAAGAAGAATGGCTTGTAACACTTGTTATTTTGTTTTCCTGCCTTAGTTTCTATTGTATTTTCCAACATTAATTTCATAACTAACTGTTGTGTGGGATTTTGTCGTTCTGGAGAGTAGACCTGTTGATTTAAGTGGAACTGTTCTTTTCACAAGTAACTTGTAATACAACTCATGGTGCCTGAATGTGGAAGCGGAGGTTCTGAGGCTGAAATCCTGTTGCGCACCTATGTGTATGTAATGCAGACCTGCGGAAGTGATGGAAGGAACTTGCAGCAGGGTGGAAGTAAGATCCAAGAAGCACTTCCACAGGTGTGTCATGCAATAGTCGTGACGTGAACTGTGTGGTTAATTGTGCAACCATGATATGTGTAACCACGAGCCATGTGGCTTTGAGCTTTACCACAACATGAATTGTACAAATGCAGTGTGAACGTATATGATCAGTTGGGCAATGCTGTCTGCCCATTGAAGTTGGCAGATATTATGCCAACATCAGCAGGATTTTAGCCTGACTATTATATGTTTGTCTGTTACTGCTGGCTTGCTTCCACATATTTATTGAATCCTATAAAGATGCATTTATGCTAATAATCACCTTCATAATGTTCTGTGGTGGTGAAATCCACGGTGCACTCAGCAGTATCGTAATGCATATTAATATAATGGGGAGTCATAAAAATCTGAATAAGCAAGCAAAGCCCTTTTATTTTTACAGAGTCAGTTTTTATAGGTGCAAGATTAATTGTTGCTGGTGTTTTTTTAATCTTCATAAATGTAAATGAGGCAGAGCCTCATTTAGAATCTAGTGCTTTTTCCATATCTTAATTTAAAAAGAAAAAAACAGATTAAGCAAGGCCAGACTAAATCTATAGATGAAGCATAAAATTAAATACATGGTGTTTCATGGTTCTCAGAAGGGAATAAAGAGACTTATGTTCTGCTTGTTAGGATATCTGAAGGCCTTTCCCAACCACTGTGCTTTTGACGAAGGTGAAGTAGAAAGACTTCACCTTCACTGGGCTTAATAATCCCAGATGACATTGTCCCATCCAAAGCTTCCTCTGTGAAAGAATGGTTTGTTCACAGCATCCCTAAGTACCCAATGTCATCCTGGAAAGTAGCAATAATTCCTGCCCCAGACATGGTGAACATGGCATGTTCTTGAACGTGTGAAGCTTGCTGGAGGTCAAAAAGTTGTTATTTTAGTCCACAACTCCCACAATCCCCAGCCAGCATGGCCACCATAGTGAGGAAAAGCTGGAACCTCCAAAAAAATAATCAGCATGGTGCTGATTTAACTGGATCGCTCGTACTTCGCCTAGTCCAGTCCAGTCTATCCTGACTGGCGTAGACTCTCCAATGATGGAAGTACTGTAGAGGTCTCTTCTGTCTCTGTAACCTAAGCTTCTCTTAAACTGTGAAAACTTTTGATCCAAGTAGGAGCACTGGCAAAGCTGATGTTGTACAGCTGGAAATTGGCATCTGCCCTGATTCTCTGTAGAGGTGAGGGTTGTACCAGTTTCACTGGCGTCCATTAGAAGGCATCCGACAAGGTTGCTGCAACACACATTGTGCATTTCCACCATGTTGACCATTCCTGGCCCTTAACGTTTGCCTTTTTGAAATCTTGTGACGTTTTCCCTTGGGTTCCTGTCCATCTCTTATGCTTCAGCTAATATTATGGATCAGCAACTTTATTTTCTCTGCAGAAGGCTTAGCCCTACCTGTATTAGCAGGAAAATGAGAAAGTCTTTAAAACAGCTTGTCCCCTTGAAGGGGTGTTAATCTGAAAAAGCCCTTCAGTCTGTTGTCTTTTTTTCTGCTTAACTGATGACAAACCCCATTGAACTCAATTGAACTTGCTTCTGAGTAGATGTGCAGATTATGCTACAGAACACTAGCAGTAATTCTTGCGTAACCATTTCATTTCTCCTAGTTTGCCTACGCTTAGCTGAAGTAAAGCTTGTGTCTTAACTTTTCTAAAAACAACACAACATACAAACAACCCTACCCAAAACATTTCCTATTAATATTGTCTCTATATTTTAAGGATTTTATAGGTATTTTGATAACACCAGAGAGGAGACAATTGAGAGAGGTGTTGTTGTTTTTCTCTGTTCATCTGTTCTTTGTGACGGTCTGATCTTAAACCAAGAAGAGGTCAGACTCGATTTTTTGACAGGTGCCTCTTGGAGAAAACGCACCCCTGTCATTTTCTTCTCTTCTTTTTTTAAGAGTTACTTTGTAAAAGTTTATTTTTTTGCTAAGCCTTTATTTTATAGAAGCAGTTAATTATAAGAAGTGAGGTTTCTCAGATATTGTACACTCTTTGTTACCTTGGGAAGGTTTCGGATCTAACCAGTATTATTAATAGTAAATTATATTAAAAGACCTTTGCTGGACAGTGTTTTGTAGGGGCAACGAAATGATAGCAACATTTAGAACATGAATTCCAAAATCCATGTCAATCATGTGACGACCTTTTAAAACTTACTTTTTTCAGTGTCCTTGTTTGTTTATTGTCTTAACTGGTGACAGTCCCCATATCCTTAATGTGTCTTCTGATCTACTTTGGAATGAATTGTTGTCTTTGGTTATTATGACAGTTCTTATTCAGTACAGTAGAGAAGACCTTTCATGTTTTAACATTAAGGAACACATTTCACAAATGCCAGTTTCCCGCTAGTGACATATTGTCCAGTTCGACTAACATTAGCAAAACATATGGTTTTATTCTTGTCTGGAATGTTCTCATGATTGCCTCCTGTAGCAGCATTGCTCACTGTTTTCCAGTAATAAAAAGAGAAAAAACCTAATTTGTGTTGCGTGCTCTGCTTCGTAGTTGATCCATTATTTAAAAGATGGAAGGAAAATGACGAGGCTGAAATTTTCCACAGTGTTGCAGCGATGGGTGGATTTGTGAATAAGGGAATTGTGCCTGTTCTTATGATAAATTCTTGCGCTGCCAGATTCTTCTGCAAGTCACTTGCTAGCTTAGTTCTCATTTCTAGTCATAAGACAGTGTTTTTAAGACTTCTAGGACAATAAGAGATTTCATTAACTTTTCCCATGCTTGTATCATGTCATCCACTGTGAACTGGCTGCTGTGAGTTTGAGGAAAGATCTATAATTGTGAACATTGTGAAGGACTAGGATGCTGAAATGGTGGCATGGCTGTCAGCCTACAGTACTGGATGGCATTTCTTTCTGCCTCCTGACTTCCTTTACATAAACAAGAGGCACATCGGGGAGAAAGTCCTAATTGGACCCATCACTGCCTGTACGTATTAGTTATCTAATTTCAATAACTTTTTGCAGGAACTTACTGAAAATTGTTCCCTGGTTAACAGTCTCAAGTGGTAAAGTCTTTTCTGCCCTTCCTTTTATCTAACATTTGTGTATGCTGAGCTGCTTTCTACGGATGGTAGAAGTGGAGGAGGACCAGCTTCCAGATTCCAAGGCAATGCAAGGAAGGGGCACATCTGTGGACAGCTCATTCAGAAGGATGTGCAGCCCAATCCTGTGTATTCAGGAATGAGGAGTCATAGGGTTTCATAAACGACTCTAATCTTGAAATAAAGCTTGACTTCATATTTTCACATTTATTTTAGCTAAGCTCAGCTTTCAATGAAGTTGCAAAAATGATTTGTAAAGTTGCAAGTAACCAAAACTTGTGAAATTGCTTTGCTTAATAAAAGCAATGTCACAGAAAGTTATATACGAAGTTCATATTAAGGTGTATGTGCGGTGGTGAGTATGTATAATAACACACTAAATTGTTTGCTATACGAATGTCATTTATTGAGGCTCACAGAGTGGTCCAGCTTCCTCCCTTCATACCTGCGTTTCTTGGGCATCATCACATTATGCTCAGAATATCGATTTATGGTAGTCTCTGAACCTTTTTTAAAAAATAACCTGATACAATAAAAGCATTACTGTACCTTCAAGTGTGCAGACAGGACATTTTTTTAGGCATCCTTCAGTCTCGAGACAATGGGAACGTGCTCTGGAGGCCTCGGAACAGCATCTAGTGTGGCTGAGAAAGCCAATTCGAGAGTGACCGTACTGTCCACTCTGAAGACAAATCCAATCTGTCCCCTGTCCAGCTCCCTGGTCTTGCTGGTTTTGGGATCGCCTCTTTGCTTCGGCCTGCTGGACATGGGTCTCCTCAAATTGGGAGAAGCCGTGATGCAACAAACATTGTTATATTGCAAGGTGTCTACATGACACCCACCCAGCTGAAGCTGATCTCCTCCAAGTTCTGCTAATGTACACCACTCACTACAGAGTTGTTTGCCCCTGATTCAAAAGCAGATGCAATTCTAACAGCTTACAATAGCAATATTAAAAAAAAAAAATAAAACCCCAAAGTCTCAACAGGCAGAAGGTTACAATAATTCCATCACAGATGAAAGGAAAAGTATTGTAATGGGCTGGGTCAAAAA